TCTTACTTGTTATGCTGTTCAAATCATCAAATTTTACAAATTCTTACTTGTCATGATTTCAAAATCATCAAATCTTTCAAATTCTTACTTGTTATGCTGTTCAAATCATCAAATTTTACAAATTCTTACTTGTCATGATTTCAAAATCATCAAATCTTTCAAATTCTTACTTGTTATGCTGTTCAAATCATCAAATTTTACAAATTCTTACTTGTCATGATTTCAAAATCATCAAATCTTTCAAATTCTTACTTGTCATGCTGTCCAAATCATCACATTTTACAAATTCCTACTTGTCATGCTGTCCAAATTTTACAAATTCTTACTTGTCATGCTGTCCAAATCATCACATTTTACAAATTCCTACTTGTCATGCTGTCCAAATTTTACAAATTCTTACTTGTCATGCCGTCCAAATCTGACAAATTCTTACTTGTTATGTTTTCCAAATCATCAAATCTATCAAATTCTTCCTTGTCATGCTGTCCAAATCATCAAATTCTTCCTTGTCATGCTGTCCAAATCATCAAATTCTTACTTGTCATGCCGTCCAAATCTGACAACTTCTTACTTGTCATGCTGTCCAAATCATCAAATTCTTACTTGTCATGCTGTCCAAATATGACAAATTCTTACTTGTCATGCTGTCCAAATGTGACAAATTCTTACTTGTCATGCTGTCCAAATCATCAAATTCCTACTTGTCATGCCGTCCAAATCTGACAACTTCTTACTTGTCATGCTGTCCAAATGTGACAAATTCTTACTTGTCATGCTGTCCAAATATGACAAATTCTTACTTGTCATGCTGTCCAAATGTGACAAATTCTTACTTGTCATGCTGTCCAAATCATCAAATTCCTACTTGTCATGCCGTCCAAATCTGACAACTTCTTACTTGTCATGCTGTCCAAATCATCAAATTCTTACTTGTCATGCTGTCCAAATATGACAAATTCTTACTTGTCATGTTGTCCAAATGTGACAAATTCTTACTTGTCATGCTGTCCAAATGTGACAAATTCTTACTTGTCATGCTGTCCAAATGTGACAAATTCTTACTTGTCATGCTGTCCAAATGTGACAAATTCTTACTTGTCATGCTGTTCAGGGCATCAAATCTGATAAGCCTGTTGATTACTATCTATCATTTCCAAAGTCTTTCAGACATGTTTCCCGTCTTCCAATGACTAGCATAGTGTTGATATCAGATATACAGTCATGGTAGTACTGTTTCATATTTGACATTGTCTTTGTTCTTGGTCCCATATTATATGACATTGCAGGATAATTCTAAAGATTATAACATCAATACCAAGTGGTTCCACCCATTTATGATAAAATAACCTCAGTCTTCTTTTTACTTTTATCTTTTTAGAAAGAATATGCAGTTCCAGAACAGTACAGGACATATTGGGATGGAAATAAATTGAAGACTGAAGTGTCTGATGCTATTGCATAAAAAGATGACAGGAACCATCTATACACCAGAACCAATTTTGAATTTAAACATTATGAAATAATTGCATGTAATGGGAAACAAGTACATTTGATGCTATTGTTGGTTTTGGGGACATTTATTATAATTTTATGTTCATAATTGTTCAAATACCTTTGATGATATTGTTCACATTTGTTCATGTTTTTTTTTTGTTCAAAGTGTCAAAGTTAACTGAATGCTTCAATAGACATACCATATTGTCAAAAACACATTATCTATTGTTTTGATAAAGTGATTCTGTGAACACAATTGGCTATTGGGATCAACCTTGGTGTGTTTGTTCAAACCTGTATCTCTCACATGCCTGGATCACATTCAAAATTCACATAAACATCATGCTTCTTTGGATACCTTCATTTGTTTGTTTCACACTGCACCATTTTTGTTCTGAAAAGTTA